TGAGTCATTTACTCCAACCACCCAGCTAATGCTCCAATGTCTCTACGTTCTGACAAGTGGCTGTCCTTCCTGAGCTGGGCCATTAGACAGCTCTGACTATTGGCAATTTCTGCTCCTTGCTCTTCCCTTTCATCACAAGCCCTATGCGAAGGAATAGGGCAAAGGCTCCAATTTGAAAGGCCTAGGAGACCTCAGGGCAGCTTCTTCAGGATGGCCTGAATGTTTGGCACCCAAGTGTCTGCCAGGGAGATCTTGGGAAGGAATAAACTCCAAGTCTTTACAGAAGCTACCTCAGTGCAATATGCTAAGTGTTGTGGTATGGAAGTGAATCCAGGTTCTGTGGCAGAACCCTGGGACCCTACAGTCTTCTCCCTCCTCCCAGACAGGGCTAAAATGCTTCTTTGGTTTAGAAGTGTTGCTTATTTCCTTGTCACTGTAACAAACACCCTGACCTCCTAATTATAGGATGTCACTCCTGGGCCCTCTACCTGTAGAATATGGCAGCGAATGGCTTGTTGTAATTAGGTCTGTGTAATTAGGTGTGAAGGCAGGGTGGGAAGGTCATGACAAGACGTTTTTCCTGGTGTGGGTCATAGAGTCACTCTAAAACTGCATAAACTACCTAGCTACCTTATATTTGCTCTGGGGAAAAGATTTGGGATCAGAAAAACAAAGGAAAAAACTATTTGCAAAGTTCTGGAAGGGTGGATCCTAGGGCCTTTCAGAATGCTGGCCCTGATACTGGTATTTCCTTGGGAAATTATACCCTGGTGACCACACTGTGGCTCCTGATTCTCTGGAGATATCTGAGGGTCTGAGGAGATGCTCAGTTTGGCCTAGCTGCAAGAATGGATAGAAATATCAACTCAGAGGAGGATTCAGGAGCTGGAGAGCTCCAGGAAAAGCAAGTTCAGAGGCCAGGAAAACCAAGCTCCAGGAAAGCTGACTATCAGCCTCCAAATGGAAAATTGTGGTAGGTCATTGTCTGCTAAAAGAGTAGACCAGAAAACAAGGAGCCAATAGTTGACCTCAACCCAATACAGTATTATCTTTCATTAATATTTTTGAGTTATTGTTGAGTCAATCTATAAGTATTTTGTAGATAACTCTTGGGTATCAAGCACTTTCATCTCATGAACTAAAGAAACATAAAATTTGACCCATGCATTAAGAAAATAGAGCTGGAATTCTGTCCTTAATCTTCTTCACTTTCTCTCCTGCTACGGTTTTATCCATCGACCATCATATCCAAGAAAATGGGCTCTAGATTTATATCATAATCCCAAAGCTCAGTCTGAACTCCAAATTCATATTCCAACCACTGCATAGACATTTCCAGTACTATATATCTTTACATCTTGCCCCATTTTACATGTCCTGAAACACATTCATTCATCAATCTCACTTCTCCACTCTTCCAAAAACTATCTGTCTCTCAGTGTGTCATGCTTCTGCCTAAAATGATCCTCTTCTCTCCCTTTAATCAATGTCCCACCATTTGTTAACATGACTCAGCTCTCACGTTTTCTACACATAAAATGTCTGGGTGCAATGGAACGCTATTTATAATCCTACATTTTAAAGATTGAGCAAAGTGGCCAAATCCCCTGCAAAGGCCCCATCATCCTTCCGAAGCAGAAGAACCACTTCCTCCTCTCAACTTCCATAACACTTCACCTGAATATGCCCTTTCCACATTCTCTCTCCCTTTCAATGGCAAGTAGTCAGCAACTTCGTACTTCAAATATATTCCTACTCTCCAATACATTTGCTAACTTCACATCCAGCAAAAACAATTCTGTCATCCTGAATTTCCTCTTTTTTGAGCTAACTAGTGTCTGCCTGTGGCCTTCTCATCTCATGGTGATGGGGCACACATTCTGCTTCTCGTAGTTGCCACATCTTCACTTTGTCACCATGTGTGCTGTTGAAGCACTTTATTAAATAAATTGTGTGTGTATGTCTACGTGACAAAATACAGCATGATGTCTCAAAAGAGGGTGCTCCTAGAATCAAAGACATGTGCTTTGAATGATTGTGAGTTGGTGTTCTGACCTTAGTAGAACTGTGATCCTAATTAGGCCACTTAACCTCAGTTTCCCCATTTGTTTTTTACTTTTTAATTTTTATTTTAAAGAGATTAAGACAAAACAGGACATAACAAAACAGAGCAGAACTGAACAATAGAAACAACACAGAATTTCACTAGAAGACAACCCATAATTAACAGTAACTACCACAATGTCTCTTTCTTTGAAATAGTTGAGTATAACTTCATATACAATAGTATCAAACATAACAAAATAGTATTGAAACATTCAAGAGAATGAGTATTACAGGGAATTCAGAACCAAATAACAGAAAACAAATGATGGCTACTATATTATCTCATTTTCCATATAAAATTTGTTTATACTTTCACAGGTAATACAATTCAGTAAGATACAACATGATAGAGCCAATGGAAACAGAAGAGCAAGAGCATGGTAGGACTTCAGAGTAAGATGATATACCAGTACTGGCTATTATAATGACTTGTTTCCCTCAAATTAGCTGTTCATACCATCATAGTTAATAAAATCAAACAAACAAGGACAAACCCATTACAACTAACCAATGTGATTACTATAAGGTTTCAAAACAATGTAGTGAGGAATCATGATTACCATAAACTGTTATGTGCTCTTACTATTTCTTACACTAGGGAGACTATACGGTGTTTATACATGTGAGTTTGATTTATTTCGCTTATGAGTATGGTTTCAAGTTGCGCCCATTTATTAGTAAATATCTCAATGTGATCATTCTTTATAGCTGAGTAGTACTCCATTGTATAAAAATACCACAACTTTTTTATCCATTCCACAGTTGATGGACACTTACGTTGTTTCCACAGTTTCTCCATTTGTAAATAGGAGGGTAATTCTCACCTTGGAAGATTCAAACTGTGCTGTGTTTTAGTAAGCTTGCATGTACCATGTAATCAGCTTCAGGTCCCACCCTCGGCTTGCTGAGAAAACATGGCATTTTCAGGCATCAGCTTAGATGTTATTACTCCTTACAAGGTCCTCGGCTTTCAAGGAGTAGTGGTCTCTTCCACATGCTTACTTATGATGGTGCCTTTGCCCCTGTCTCAGCACTTACTTAGTCTCTGAACTAGAAAGATCTGTTTCTCTTGCTTTTTCTTTGCACACTGAGAAACTGGAAACTCTATGAAGACAGGAACCACAATCTGTTAACTAGTATATTCCATTTTTGATCTCCTCACTCACTTTTGACCCAAGGAAAGTGAAAAAAAAGTAAGCCACGTTAGGTAAGGAATTTACGATTCTGGGATTCTGAAGAAATGCCAATATCTCATGGAGTGCTTATTAGCTTGCATTGCAACAATTTAGTTCATCAAATCACTGGCTCCCTCCTAGCATGGCGCTAGGCACTGTGCGGCATCTGTTTTGATACAGAAATTATGTGATCTGTTTTCTGATCTGATGCTAAAGCCCAATGGTTTCCAATCTCATGAGATTTATGACTAGTTTTCTATATGTGAAGCTACACAAATCTCTAAGAAAATTAATTTTCCTAGGGGATTCTCATCAGCAATAGCAATCCCATAGTTTGTTTGGCACCCATAGTTGTAAATATCTTGTTTTAAAAACTCAGTGACATGTAAATTTATTATAACAACCTAGGCACTTTATCATAAATAGAAGCAATGATCACTATGGTGCTGTCCTCTATTTTAGATGTTGTCACTTCTGGAGTGACATTTATTGCACATGATGGTTTAGAAAGGAAGCTCTCAGGTCAGATGGCCCATGTCCCAACCCCACCCGTTATGCACTAACTGCGTGATGTTAAAGGAAGTTATTTCATTCTCTGTACCTCAATTTCCAAGTCTATAAAATGCAATCATATCATTCACATTATAGGATTATTGCATGGGTTAAATGACCCTACATGTAAATGCTTATAGAAGTACCAACAGCTGCTGTGAATACTCTATAAATTCTAACTATTATTATTTGCAAAAGACGAGTTAAACATAAGAAGAGTGTTTGGATAAGATTACCTTCAAATTTCCTGCCAAGCCTGAAGTTCTGGGTCTCTATATTATACCAATCGCTCAACATTCCTGTTCAGTAGGGAGGGGGCAGCATTATCCACATTTTACAAACAGTGAGCTTGAGCTGTAGAGAAGCAAAATGTCCAGTCAAGGAGTGGCAGTAGGGCTCAAGTTCGTAGAGCTCGATACAGCACTAGGACACCTTTAAGGGGGATGTGAAGTTGTGTGTGTAAAAGAGAGTTGCATATCCTTTGTGATCTTGGGAGCAGAGACCCCCTGAGGCCCCTTCTCTGCTGAGGCTCTCCATATGTCCAACAAGACCACTTCTATCTCCCTGGGATGTTCTCAGGTCATATCTTCCCAGGTAGTTCCCATGTTAGCTTTCATTAAAGCTAAATTATCGAGTTGGATAAAGTGCTAATTAGGTACTGTCCCCTTGGTCCTGGAATTCCCCCTGCCATCCCTGGGTGTGCTGGGTATGCACATTCCTCACGTAGCTGCAGACCCTGATACTTTGGACGATTCCTTCTACAGAGCCAGGACCTTAAATACTTGGCAACCTCACAACTGACCTTATTCCAAAACATTCTGCTCCCAAGTGCACTCCCCAGATCTCATTCTTCCCTTCACTTTTCTTGCTATTGTGGGCAAAGGAGCCTCAAAAACTCCTTACCTCTCCCTCTCTCTTACTACTAGGTTATCCAGAGGGAAGACTGTCCTCTTCAGAAACCGAGCTGTCTGGTTGCAGTCACTAAGCCTGTGGGTGCTGGGAGTGTTTCTATGCTGGAATCCAGACAGTTCAAGAGAACTGGAGATGCTTTTCTTTTCTGTCCACTAGGGGGATGCTTGTAAAGAGACGGAAAAAACAGGCTAAAAAAATATGCTGCTGAAATTTCAGCAAGAGAGGAAAAGAGAGAGCGCATGAGAGAGAGAGAGAGAGAGAGAGAGAGAGAGAGAGAGAGAGAGAGAGAGAGAGAGACGGCAAAGCAGCTCCAGACTTCCCATCTCGCTCACGTCAGAGGCAGGAACCAACTGTGTTAAAGCTGTTGGCTCAACACGCAGAGATAGGAGCAGACCCAGAGAGAGGGAGAGAGAGAGGAGGGGGGTCTTTCCTGACCCAAGGAATTGCCACTAGTGGAGTAAAGCCACCTGACTTTTTGATCTTATTTTGGTTGTCTCTTCTTTCTCCTTCCACTCGCAGCCCTGCTGTAGAGCCTCCTCTCAGAAAGGGAGGAAGGGAAAAAACGGAGACCGGTGGGCTCTTAGGTGAGAGCATCAGCTGGCTCCAGCCCTGAGAGACAAGAATTCTCTTCGCAAGAAGCTGCTCTCCCTCCTGGCTGCCACCCCCTGCCCTGGTAAGTCCAGAGCGCTCCACTCGTTCCCTTCCTTGCTAGCGTGTTTCAGCACCAGGGAGAGCGATGAGATGCATTTTGGTTCCTGTGTGTCTGTGTGTTCCGGCTAGGCTTTTGGCAATGAGGTTGTATCTCTCTCTGCTGCCGGGAGAGCTGGGTTCTGCGTAGGAAAAGAAAGGTGCAAAACTGTCTCCTAATTAAAGAGGGTTGTGGACCCTGGGCTTGCAATGCGTCTGAGTGTTTTTGAGTGTGTACTGTTGCATAAGACAGGTGAAGACTGAGCTCAATTGCTGGTGGTTACTCTGTGCCTCTGAGTGAGGTTGTTCTTTTTGTATGTAGATAAGGAGTGTTGGGAAATTAATCGTGCACCTTCTTTAACTCTTTCCCAACAAGCCCTCCATGGTGGGAATGCTTTGGAAAGGAAGCTTGGGGACTGGGAGTGAAGGTAGTGTTAAAAGTTACGCTCCTCCAAGGGAGCTTGTAAGAGGTGATTTTTTTAAATGTCAGTTTCTCCAGGATTCTCCGGGTTCTTGCTGTGGAGAGAGCCCAACCTGACCTTTTACTTTTTCCCCTGGTGTAAATTCATGCTAATGGGTGGGTGCAACAGGTTAGGCTCACACTGTGCAGGATCTCTCTGATTGCATGGTGGTGGGACAGTACCCATGTCTTGAGCCTTGCAGAGGTTGGCTACATTTGCAAGGAGACAGGAGGTGCCCTCTACTTTTCTCTCATCATTGGCTACTTGTGGTTGGAAAGAGGACAAAAGTCTGTTCTGCCCTATTTTCTGGGGCATTTGGCAATGAAAAACAGCTCAGAATAAAGGTGTGTCTCCATGTGTCTGGAGAAGCAGAAGTGAATTTAGTCTGGCCCCTGACTCAGGAAGATTACTCTGTGCTCCTCCAGCACTGAGAGGGCCCACAAACAGAAGCTCCACATTACTTCACGTCAGTGTTAATACTTTTTTGCACTGCTCTCTCTCCCTCCTGCCTCCTGGCCCTTTGAGTGCATTCAGTTGATTACCTGTATCTGCCTTACTTTTGCCTTGGAGCCACTACCTGCCTGCCACACCCACTTTGGTCCTGCCCAAACCTACTTATGTGGGGCAATTCAACAAGTGGTGTTGGGATTTTCTTCAAGTCATGTCAGCTAGTCTCCCAAGGGGAATTTTAAAGTGATGTGGCTTCTTGTAAAAATCAAGCCTTACATTTACTCTGTAAGGTTCTAGTAGCTTCATTTAAATATATTGAGGCAGGGGAGGTCTAAGAGGTGGGGGAGTTCACTCTTTCAGTCCTGATAAACTCCAAGTGTGATGGCTTTTTGTTCTGTTTTTAATTGAGTACCATGAGCATGCCCTTGAAGAAGAAGAAAATATTCTCTGACTCTGGTTGGGGATCCTCTTGAGTAAGAAACATAGTTCTGAATTAAGTGGTCTTTCTTTCTTTTTCTTTCTTTCTTTCTTTCTTTCTTTCTTTCTTTCTTTCTTTCTTTCTTTCTACTGTGCTTGCTACTGAATCCAGCAGCTTGAGTATCGCCTTAGAATGGCAGGTAGTAGAAAGTAGTGAGGCAAAGAGTCAGAAGTTGTAATGTGATAAGGGAAAAGATTGAAACAGACAAATGCAGATAACTAGAATCCAACTCTGACTCATTCATATTTCCAATTTCTAAATCCTTCTGTCCTTGAAATTCTTCTATTTGGAAAAGTGAGTGGATGGATTCCTGCATGACATGTCCCTGGCGTTTAAAAAAAAAATCATGCCATTGCAGTGGACCTGTTCAAAACCACCATTTATTACTGAAGTCACCATATTTAATAGTCATTATCTCATTAATGCCCCTAAATTCTCTCTCAAATAAGTGCCTGGTTTCATTATTGGGCCCATTTCTTAAAGTAGGAGACATAGATGTTTAAAGTATTAGGGCAGAGGGTAGCAAAAGCAGAAATAGAACTTCTGGTCTACTAATATCTCGTCACCTGCAAAAAGGATCATGTATGGAAGAACGGGAATGGATTGCCTCACAGAAGACAGATTTGCAACCAAAACCTTTTAGTAAGCTCCCTGTGGAGCAATGGCCTCCCCCTGGTGAAGAATGAGAATTAGTGCAAAGTCTCCAGATACTGCTGACCTTTATTTCTCAGCCAGGAGAATGGCTAGAAGCCAGGTGAAGAGCTTTGTGCTTACTGTGAAGGAGTCCTGGCCTGGCAGCAGCCAGGCTGAACCAGTGTAATACGCATGACTGCCGCACTCATCTAGCCCCAGAAATCCCAGCTGAAGGCACTCTTCTCAGCAACATTGCCATAGATAATCATTTATGGGTTCACGTATTGGATGACTGTTTCTCCGATGAGCCTTCTCTGAGACCACCTTCGGTGCTTCTCTGTGGCTCAGAATGTGGAGAGAAGGGCTAAAGAGCAGGAGAGGACAGGGTCCTACACCCAGAAGTGGGGAACTAGATACAAACTCACCCTGTGTACAGAAACCTCTTGCAATCCTAGACTTCCTATCTGCCAGAATTCTTGAGAGAAAGCCACTATATTCTCATATTAAGATCTACTTTACCAAGCAGAGGACACTCCGTTGGGCTGCCTCTGAGACCCTGAGAGACGAGAGCTGGTGAAGAAAGCAGCAAGGAGGGAGAAAGGCAGCATCCTGCTCCATTCTCCACGGTTGCAGGTCGCCATCTCTTATCTGGAAGATGGTAGACTTGCATATAAAATATAAATATTTAGATTACTAATTTTTTGCAGTTGTGTATACTCATTGGACTAATCTCCAAACAAGATATACAAAATTCCCTTATATTTCTTTCTGATCCAACTTTTCTCCCCCAACTACATTACTTTTTGATATCTACCACCATGGTGTATGTTACTGCATTGTGCAGTAGAAAGGTATAGCTGAATGCGTTACTGAAAGATGTGGATTCTAGAATTTTAAGAGAGCCTCTCAGAGTTCTGGGTGCATAGCAGAATGGGTGAGGAAGGGATGCTTTCTACATGCCAGTTGGAGGTAGTGGCATTAGAAAGCCAAGTGGTCATTTCCAACTATGGATATAGAAGCCAACAATCAAGCCCAGACAGGAATTGTAGAAGTCCCTGAGGCCGCTCTCTGTGAGCTGACCTGAGCTATTTGATGATATAGATCATAGTGATTAAGTTGAAATTTCTATTAAAAATGTGTAATTCTGTATTTAGGTGATGGATCATGAGTCATCCCATCTGGGCCCCAGAAAAGAGAGCTGAGGAAAGGACACCAATGTGAGCTTACTTGTTGGGAAAGAGAATGAGTTCTCTGTTTTAGCGCTTATGCTGTGACATTCAGCTCCATCCACAAAGGTCATGGCTGAGAGGGTGGTGTTCTTCCTTATTCAGGGGTGGCTATAGAACCAGAGGCTGCTAGCTGAGACTCATGGACCATCATAAGTCTGTCCAGGGATTCCTGCATTCAACTTGTTCCCATCTCTGGGCTCTCAGGTAGGGAGTGTTGTTTCCTATTTTGCCATTAAGAAGTAAAGGACTTATGAGAAGATTTCAATGACTCTGTTGAATATATAGATGTTTGTGAGTTGTACTTGTGTGCATAGAATCTGTACACACACACACACACACACACACACACACACACACAACTTATCCTGACATTTTGCCAGTCCAATTCTCTTCCTTCCATTCTATCTTTAATTTAAGGAGCTCTAGATAGAGATGAGGAATTCTGTGCACAGTCTGAGCATGGGATCCTCAATTAACTCAGCTGAAAAATAAGAGTTTCTGGCAGATTGGTCTTTAGTAAACTTCAAAATAGGGCCCAGTAAGTCATGGACCTGTTTGCATGCTTGATGAGTAGTCTTCTCCTCTTGCTCCTTCTACTCAGAGACTTTTACTATAACCTCTACTGCGTTTTCAGTGCTGAGCATCCAACCCAAGCAAGGTCTTGTGCATGCTAGACAAGTGCTTTACCACTGAGCTATGTCCTCAATCCATTAGGGCACTTGGTTTCAGGGCTTTGTCCTTTTCTGGGTTCATGCATGAGACAGCTCTTTTGTAGGAAGAATTTTTTTTTTTGTACCAGGGATCAAACTCATCACCTCGTGCTTGCCAGACTGGCACTTATGCCACTGAGCTAAATACCTGGCTCCTCTATGAAGGCTCTTGAATCATCTCTCCCACTTGGTAACCCAAAGTAGATTTTGGGTTGCTAAGCCATCAGGTCATGGAAAATTAGAAGACAGGCAAAGTGAGGGGAATGTGGTAGCTAAATAATTTAGCTAACGCTAAATAATGTCCACAAAACCAACTGCAGTAGATGACTTGGCAGAAGAGCAGAGATACCTTTGCCTCGTCTTGATTTCGAGCTACGTTAATTAAAGATGAGACTCCCTACCTAATTACAGTTTCATCTTCCTAAGAGCAAGTCCGGTGGGGAAGGAAAAATTGAAATAGAATTGTTTAAAAGTTATTTCTAACCACATATCAGACCCACTACATCTTTACTTTGGAACATGACTTTGGGCTAGAGCACTATTGGTGCATTTTTAACACAGTAAGTAATGAATGTGTCAATGGGCAATGGGAATTCAGCATCCCACTCTTTCTCTTCTTTTCACTCTATGTATCCTTTTGGTCATTGTAAAGTAGATAGTTTGGTAGCATTAAATACAGTCACAGTGGTGCAACTATCACCATCACCCATATTTGGAAATTTATCACTCCCCTTTCCTCTTTTCCTGAGCCCCTGGACAACACCATTTCACTTTATTTCTGTGAATTTGATGACCGTGTGTACCTTATACAAGTGGACTCCTCCAATATTTGTCCCTTTATGTGACTCATTTTACCTAGCATAGTGTCTTTGGGGCTCATCCATGTTGTTATGTGTGCCCACCTTTCTCCCCTTTCTATGGCTGAAAATAGTCCACTGTATGCCTGCACCACATCTGTTTATCCGTTCATCTGAGGATTCACACTGGGATTGCTTCCTCTTCCTGCCCTTTAATTTTGGCCTCTG